CAATTTGGCTCCGGCTGCTGCTCAACAATCATCGCCAGCAGCGATGGCAGCACGACTCCGTCAAGAGGCCTTTGATGCACTGACCGTCGCCCTCCTCTCTGATATTGCCAACGTTGAGTTAGATTTGGACGAGATCTGTCAGTCGGTGCTTGTTCCGGGCCTTTTGGATGAGAAATCCTTGGTAAGTCTGTTTGGTTCTTGTTATTTTTGTTTTGTTTTGAATTTCTACCTTTTCCAAACCCAACTCTGTCAACGGATGTTGGATGCCGACAACCCGCAAGTAAAACCATCGTTTAATGGCCAATGAAAGACAGATTGAAGGCCCGGCTATTTTTAAGTTCCCCCTCCCCATGTAAATCGTCTTTAAAGTCTTTTGTATCCAGCAAAGGCAAAGTCTTTCCTTTCTTGGTTATTTTTACCTCCGTACTTTAGGGCCGTTTGTAACATCGGGGCAATTAAGAGTGATGGTTTGTGTCTTGGCTGCATCTGCCGGTTGTCCACTGTGCGCGTGTCTATAGCGGCCCGAGCCAATTATATTTCCAAATCGGGCTGGTCTCACAGAGCGCGGTTTTATTAACCGCATCTAGTGTGTTGCAATAAAATAGAGTCCTATGTGGGGCAGATCGTCGACTGGAAACTGTTCGGTGATGTCGGAAAAGGTACCGATAAAGGCCATGGCGATTATAGGATTGTTACTCCTGTCTTCTTAGCGGTCGTCAACCAGCTATAGCCACTCCAGGATTGGACAGCCCGCTGTCGAGTCTCAAACAACTATGTACTGGTACGTTGGACTACTTGTGTGCCACTAGCTAGGCACTTTCCAGGCCAGTTTGGTTGTTATCTGTATGCGGAACAACTTAGTACAGCGCAGCCGGAGAAAGCATAAAGTGCAATAAAACCGTTTCACACCCCCCTCCCTTCCCCATCCTGGCTGTCCTCCCCCCATCATGAGGATAAGTGGATTTGAGGAGAGGTGAATCGCGAGGCGATGCCCGTACGCCAGTGGGAAATAAAGGTGTTTTTTGCATGCACACTGTGTTGTTATTCGTAGCCAGGTTGATCGTCGTAAGGGACGATCCACGGAGTAAACAATCCGTCTACGAGTGCCACTAGCACAGAATCTGCTCCCCAGGCATGTGCTGTGCTTCTGTGGGGCGGTTCGGAACTCACATGCGCGATTCTCGCGATAATTATGCTCGCTGTCGTCAGAGTTGTTGTTGCTGGGCCCGGCCCTTCCCAC